CATCAGAAGAACCCCTCCTCGTGTATGAGAGATCCTCAGTCAGTTTAACAGCTGACTGCTCACCAGAAACCAGGGCGGACAGAGGCAGTGGGATGACGTATCAAAAGTGCTGAAAGAAAATCAAGAATTCTTCATCCAGCAAAATATATGTTTATCTTTGAAAAATGAAGGAGAAGTTAAGACATTTCCTGATTAAGGACTGAGATTATTCATTGCTAACAGGCCTGTCCTGAAAGAAATACAAAAGGGAGTCCTTCGAGCTAAACAGTAATTTGAATCCACAGGAGAAAATAAAGAACACCTGTAAAGGTAAATATAAAAGCTAGTATAAATGTATTATTACTTGTAACTTTTTCTTCTCCATATGATAGAAAGACAACTGCATAATGCGAAAATTATCAAATGGTATTGATGGGCTTATAATGTATAAAAATATTATTTGTATGACAACGATAGCACAAAGAATGGGGAAGAGAATGGAGCTATATTGGAGCAAAGTTTTTGTATACTATCATATTTAAGTTGATATAAATCCAAATTAGACTGTTTTAAGTTAAGATGTTAATTTTAATCCCTAGGGAAATCACTAAGAAAATAACTCAAAAAATATAGTAAAACAAACAAGGGAATTGATATGATACAGCATACTAGAAAACATTATAATCCAGCTAGAACAGACGTCTATAGAACACTCCACCCCCATCAACAGAATACATTCTACTCTTGTGCACAAGCAGGGGGACGAGGAGGGAAGAGGGGGGGAGGAGGAGGAGCAGAAGCATCATCATCGTCTTTGGGCATATGAATGAAGTGGTGAGGAACTGTCTGGCTGCCTATTGGAGCGCACCCTTGCAAAGAGCTGATTTGTGTCCTTTTGTACATTCAGGTCCTGGAATAGGTATCGACCACTTTAATACTAAACTCCTTTAACTGTGGCTGCTCTATGTACAGTTGCAGCCTCGTTCCTCAAGATCAAAATCCAACTCCTCACCCATGTCTGGTCAGCCAGATGTGGAATGTTACCCCTCTCTGTACCGACCACACCCGCAGACTCACCACCCTCCCTTCAATCCTGGCTCTCTGCGCAGGACGCAGGCAGATGGTACACCTCACGATTGCCAGAGTCACCACCGTCTGCCAAAACCCATAACTGACCTCAACAACACCCAGTTACAAAGTCCTGATTTCATATTTATGCTAAAGGGCCCACCAAGCACGCAGTCCCAGGTGTGCTGCATGTTCTCAACCGGAGGTAGGGGAACTCCCTGCTGCTTTCATTCTGGTCTCTGCAATGGATGAACCGGTCACTACCAGAGCTTGTTCTCTCACTTCTCGAAAGTCTTCTAATATTTATACTTATTCTCATTTGCTTTTGGAGTTGTTCATGATTATGAGCAACGGTCAAAACACTGATGCTTTCTAACATATGGAGAAGTAAAGACTGTCTAAAAGTGTTTATTTATAAGTCTCATGGGTGTCTCCTGCCCACACCCTAAAAAAATGTGTTGCTCACTAAAAACAATACGATTGTGGTGTAAAGAAGATTTGGCTTTAAAAAAGGCAGTGAAAGCAGAGGCCACCTCTTTCTAGGCCCCGCCTTTTGTGTTCAGGGTCCTCTTGCAACTCTTTCTGAGGACGGGCCTTGAATCCAGGAAACCATCCTGGAAACGGGCAGGGTGTCCTCTGTGCCAAGATAATATTTGGCACTCCCCAAGATGGCCACTTGGTGGCA